TAAACATATATTTAAGCAGTTCTACCACAGGATATAATGTCAGAGGAAACATGCCACCCCTGCAATGCTGTAGACTTCATAATTCTTCTTACTCAAATTTAACTGTATTTGGTGGCAGTTTGCTACCTTAGCTCTAGCCCTGCTTCTAAACATGTGGTGGGACATACAACAAAGTAGATATACACTTGGGAAGAGAACATATAGGGACTTTGTTATCAAACAGATGAGCCAGTTCAGCATTTTACAATGAACCTAGACTAATGGTGCTCAACCTTTGGCCCTCCAATTGGTAGGACTTCACCTTCCACTATGACTGGCCAGGCTGTTTGGAGCTTCTTGGGTCTGAAATCAAAACATCTGAAAAATCAAAGACAGAGAACCCATGAAGAACTCTTGTATGTTGTTAATCTACAACTCTTTTATTGTCATTTTCTTTATTTCATAAAACACCTTGAGTCCTAGTCTAGGAATAAGATGGGGTGTAAATAAAGAGATGGCTGGACAAGACTTTTGACCCCATGAAGTTTTAGACTTGTGTAGCCCTTCAATCAATCAAGTAATCTAAGATTCCATTAAGCTGTAAGGGTGGGCTATCCTATTAGATCAGTGGTTCTCAACCTGTGGTCTGTGGACCACCAGTGGTCTACAAGAACGAAATTATGGTCCCTGGCCTCACCATTACTACACCGTTGCCTCAAAACCATGTGGTAATGAGAGAGACTGGTCTCGTGAAACCTTCTTATAGTGCCGAGGTAATGGGGATGTTGGGAGGAGAGAAGCTGACTACCTACGAAAGATTACTACTACCACATCAGTTCTTGATTATTAAATATGGTTTTCTGTAGTCGAGCAGGTGGTGACTACTTGATGGCATATGTACTGTATTAGAAACTAGAGCTGATGTGGTCTATCCAATGCAATTTTCTGAAACAGCACCCAAATAACCAAACTTAATCTAAAGTTGAACAAAAACTGATTTGTAACCCTTATGGTACTAATGTTGGAGAGTGGTCCCTGGTCAAAAAAAGGTTGGAAACCACTTTATTAGATCCACCAGAAAGGGGGCTGGCCAAGCCAAGGAAGTCAGTGATCCCCTTAGAGCCAAGGCATTTCCAGCTGATAAGAGCAGATCCAGTGTATAACTTCCCACATCTACTTATTTTAATGTTCATTCCATGGGGGATGTAATGGAATGTCAAAATAACTAAATCTGCCTGCATTTGTTCTACAAATGCTGTAATTTGAATCTTAACATGACTAAATGTCCACATTAATTCATGTCAGGACAGTAACACATATTTTGTAGACAAATGTCAAATACTGTAGCATAATAGCCAATAAAATGACAGCTAATTGAGAGTATGCCAGTCTGCCATGTCACACTGTGCAGAGAGAAACATAATCAATGCTTGCCATAATCCATGGGAAAATGGTTATATGAAATCATCAGCATGAGCTCTTGTTCTCTTGTTCACTGTGTGCATCAGAGGGAGAGAGAAAGAGAGAGAGGCAGACCAATTCTACACAACAGGTTCTTTTTTTATACCTGGCTCTTTCTCCAAACAGCTCAGAACAGGTTACATACCTCAAAAGCAATTTCCTGCCTATTACATGGCTAGCCAATTAAGTGGAAGAACAGACATGACAGAGACTAATGCTAGCTAGTTCCAGCAGGGGAAAAAACACAGAAAGAGGTAGAGTGACACTGTGCACCACTGCACAATCAAGATACAACGCTTTGTGGCAATCAAGATACAACGCTTTGAGGTCTCACTACCTGTGAGGATGCTTGCCATAGATGCAGGCAAAACATCAGGAGAAATGCCTCTAGAACATGGCCCTATAACCCGAAAAAACCTACAAGAACCTAAGAATTTGATTTTTTTAAAAGTGCAAAAACATATGTGTAAAAGTCTATAGAACTATGAAGGTGAGATGGGTTAAATTAGTAAGCATTTATCTATCAGGATGAGGCACACAATACATTTAAAGGATCTTCTTTCCCTTGGGCAGGGTGATGACAATAGGCCATTTTGATTTCCCACAAGAAATGTGCTACCACCATATGTCTATATGAGTAATAATAAAAAGCTGTGAGGCATGTGTTAAATATGAAATGATAATGATGATTTGAGGCAACCAATCTAGAACTAAACAATAAAATAAATAAATGAATAACCTGATACAATGTCAAATGAAATTATTTCCTTACATATATTTATTGGCAGCAGATTTGTCTCCATTTCCATTTTGTTAGGATCACTGCTTTTGCTTATGCATTGGGCCCTTTCACATTATGCAATTATATCACTATGATTCCATTTTAAATGCCAGGGTTTTCTCTTATGGAACCATATTATTTTCTATGCAAGGATGAACACCGAGGGCCCTTTCAGACAGAACCTATAACCCAGGATCTGATCCCAGTTTTTCTGTTTGTCCCAGATTACCTGGCAGTGCAGGCTTATATAACCCAGTTTAAAGCACAACACTTGGCATCAGATCCTGGGATATAAGGCCTATCTGGAAGGGCCCTAAGAACTTTCAACCAGAGAATTCCAGTATTTCAGAAATATTGCAGGATTCCAAGGAATGTAGTCATGGCAGTTAAAAGTGGAACCATAGCACTGCAATTGTGGCATGAAAAGAGACCCTTCTATTGCAGCCAGTTCACTCTCATGTGCAGAGAAAACATTAAGACAGAGCAATGGAATTTATGAATGTATAGTTCTGAAGCTAATTTCAAACATAACATTTACTCACAATGGACCCTTTACTCACAGTGTTCATTAGGTATGGTTGAAAAATGTAGAGTGTCTATATTTGTAATGATGCAGAGCCAATGAAATGTTCTGTGATAAGACTCTGAGCATACTTATTGCTTTATTTAATCCATATAATATAATGTGGATTGGTTCTAGATAGATAGTTGTCGAAAGTCTCAAGATTCATAGGGTTTGGAGATGGCATCTCTTTCCACAAATAGTTCCCAAATATTTCAACTTCTATTATATCCAATTCAATATAAATTCCAGAATGAAGTGTTTGTAGAATGAGAGAACAATATATATTTTTTCTATAGAGTGCATGTGTGTATGATAGTGTGCGGGGACTATCTTACTTTACTCTTCTGCATGGGTTGTGCAATCTTTATCAAGATTTGCTGACTTGCTGTAATTGAGAAAGTTACTAATTTGAGATGGATTGGATCTGAAGACAATTAATTTCTACTGGAAGAACACTATTTGCTTCTGAGGAAAGGACTCTCCTTGCTAACAGTTTTATGAACATGGCACCCTAAAGCCAGGAAAGAGATTGCAGAAACTCTTAGTGTTGAAGTTGAAGTCATAACACAAAAAATGGCATACCAAAATTTCCATCCATTTATATTTATATGGATGAAAAAAAAGTTATCTGTTATCCAAGCACCAGCAAATAGGAACAATTTAATCTTAAGGTTTGTTTACATTAATTAAAAACAGTTAGCAAATGAGTACAATTTGGTATTAAGCACTGAAGTAATTTTGAGTGACCTTGAAATGGATGAGCCAGGAAGAAAACAAAACTAACACTAAAAATATTATTCAAATTAGTGATGAGTGGAGAGATGAGGTATTTGGATAATTAACATGGTATCTGGATTCTAGCTTGCTTTGTTTGATTTTAATAGCCTTTAGAACCTGTTCCTGTATAATAGAATATATGTGGTCATGGTGGGCCATTATCATAATGGAAATAAGCACCTTCTCAGAGTAATGGCCCTTACAACTTCAATTTATCACTCTCCTTTCTCACACGATATTTCACAAACTTTTCCAGTGTTTTCCTTTCTTTTCCTTTTTTCTTCTTCAGCTTGTTTTCCTGTACATCCTATCTGGATCACAGATGTCTACAGACTTGTGAATTTGAGCTTATGTTTTATATGGACTTGCTGACTTTTCTTTAGTTCTGTTGCATGGGAATAAAAATGTGCTTCAAATAGACTGGTTCCCACTAAAATGTATAGGTGCATGGCTATTATACAATTATTTTAGCTAAGGTAGATACTTTCTGAAGGATAATATGAGTGTGAGTGTTATTTGATCTGCCGGGGCATCACAAAGAGTTCTTGAGAAGACAAGAACACAATAATAATAGGGATTATTTCCAGTAAATGTCTTTATAAAGGAGATAGTTGATAGCTTTTGCTCCTTCTATCCTTCTATTGTCTATCTTCAAAAGGAATCCCTACCACAATGTGTTAGACCATGGCCCTGCAGAAGCAATATGTATTTTGAGTTCCCTTTGTGTTTCTATTCAGGAGCTGTTTGTTCTCATGGCATCTTACTGCCTGAATTTTCATCTTTACTGATGCAACACATTTTAGACCAGACTCACTTTCAGTGGAAGCTAGCAACATTTCATTCACTTATGTGGTATTCTAGTAATTGAAAACCATTTGGGATCATAAGTTCTGCCATTCTAAGTGATTTATATATTTTCTCAAAGTGTTCTGTGCCCTCTTTTAGTTGTTGCTGCTCCACCCTCTCTGCTATATTGCAGAAAGTAAATGTACACCTTCCAGAGATCCAGAAGAAGAACTCTGCTTGTATTTTGAGGGTCTCAACACCATAGTTACTTCCATTAGCAGTCATCCTTCAGGATTTTTTTTCCAACTGGGGGATTTTCCTGAATATTACACAAGCAATTCAGGTGGAGGAGAAAAACAAGTAGGAAATTGAGACCTCCTTTTCACGTCTGTAAGTATCTCCAGATGGTGCAATTAGATCTTTGGATCTGCTCTATGGGCTAATCATACAACTTTATCTTGCAGGCATGGGAGGAAAAAATCAGATACCTAATTTTAACATGCAGAAATTTTTCTGTACATATTCATCTGTATATCATACAATCATTATATTGGTGGTTTAAACTTGAATGGGCTTCAAGCAAAAGAGAACTAGACTCTTATTTGCCAAGTGTTACTGTTTTGCCTGGCATACATTTATCTGCAACATTACCTCCAGAAAGTATGTGTGCAGCTGTCCTCGGGGTTGGCCATCACTTTCATTCAGTGATCTGGGTTGCTGAGGGATATAAAGGAGAAGTGTGACCCACATTCTTGGGTCCTTGTAACTATTCTTGTAATGCAGTCACCATGCCATAGCTTGTAGCTGTTTCAGAAATATATTAGTCACTCAACTACTTTGCTTTTTCATGCCTTCACATGCATTTTCAAGATCTTTTTAAGCCATTGTTTCAACTTATGGACTTTTTTCCTAACGTGCAATGGCAATACTATGTCATGCTGGTAATATGTTAGGATTAATATGAGATCAAATTATTATCTGAAGCTATTAATGGCATGTTAATATTCCCCACTAGTGTAGTAAAGGGAAACATGAGAAATGGGATTTTAGAGTTGTATTGTCCTGTTTACTGGAATTCAGTTTTTGGATTAATCATGACAAATTATTTGATTGACTAGAATTTACTGTATGTAGAAAGTAGATACTTGCCTTTCTTGGAAAGTGAAACATAGGAATAGCATAAATATTAAAACTTCTGAAAGAAATGGTATAGTGGGATAGTACAAAATGTTTGCCAAACAAAGTATCTACTTCATCAAAGGGAAGGGAAAAAAACTAGGCTAGAAAAAAAGGGAGATTTTAATGATGAGAAGATTATACAATAAACTCATACAGGATATTGCAACTAACTTGGTAATTTAATTGAAAATCATTTTATGAAATGAAAATGTGCCTGCCTACTAAAAATCCTTTAAAACTAAGAGAGTTCACCCATTACTTGTTTAAAAAGATACATAAAATTAAGCATGCATGGTCCCATTCACTTCAATAGGGAAATGGTAAAAGAGTTATGAACTTTCCTTGCCATTAAACTGAATGTTGGAAACATGTAGCTATAAGTAGTCTGGAATTCCATGAACTGACTGATCCTCCAGACTGAATGGGAAGAGTCAGCATGCTATAATGGGGTGAGTGCTGGACTATGGTTCTGTTGAAGGGATACAGTTATTAGAAGTTAAGAGCTGAGCTGAAGGCACATAAGAACAACTCTAGAAGCCCATGAAGTGACTGATCCTACAATGCAGATACATTAGGATGTCCAAATACTATAGCCTTTCTGGTATATCGAGGTCTGAATGACTCAGAGCTGGTTTGGAACAGTATGTGCAGTTTGTACACAATTGATTCACTATGTTCAGCTCAACCCCCACATATGCGATTTTACCATTTTTTTAGTGTTGTCTGTGCCAACTTGGTAAACCTAAGATGATCACAGATTGGAATTCTATAAATAATCCTTCCACTGTGAGCCTCTTTAAATCTAGAATGGTTCTGCTCAACCATATCATGTTCATATGTTTGATCCGGTCTTTCAAACTCATTTAACAATTTCTTTAATTAAGTCGCTAATAAATAAAAACAGCTTTAAATTCTGAACATTCAAGATCCAATCTGAGTGTACTGGTTGTTGTTGTTCATTCGTTCAGTCGTCTCCGACTCTTCGTGACCTCATGGACCAGCCTACGCCAGAGCTCCCTGTCGGCCGTTACCACCCCCAGCTCCCTCAAGGTCACTCCAGTCACTTCAAGGATGCCATCCATCCATCTTGCCCTTGGTCGGCCCCTCTTCCTTTTGCCTTCCACTTTCCCCAGCATAATTGTCTTCTCTAGGCTTTCCTGTCTCCTCATGATGTGGCCAAAGTACTTCAACTTTGTCTCTAGTATCCTTCCCTCCAGTGAGCAGTCGGGCTTTATTTCCTGGAGGATGGACTGGTTGGATCGTCTCGCAGTCCAAGGCACTCTCAGCACTTTCCTCCAGCACCACAGCTCAAAAGCATCGATCTTCCTTCGCTCAGCCTTCCCTAAGGTCCAGCTCTCACATCCGTAGGTTACTACAGGGAATACCATGGCTTTGACTAGGCGGATCGTTGTTGCCAGTCTGATGTCTCTACTCTTTACTATTTTATCGAGACTGGACATTGCTCTCCTCCCAAGAAGTAAGCGTCTTCTGATTTCCTGGCCACAGTCTGCTTCTGCAGTAATCTTTGCACCTAGAAATACAAAGTCTGTCACGGCCTCCAGGGTTTCTCCCTCTATTTTCCAGTTGTCAATCATTCTTGTTGCCATAATCTTGGTTTTTTTGACGTTTAGCTGCAACCCGGCTTTTGCGCTTTCTTCTTTCACCTTGATTAGAAGGCTCCTCAGCTCCTCCTCGCTTTTCGGCCATCAAAGTGGTGTCATCTGCATATCTAAGGTTGTTAATGTTTCTTCCAGCAATTTTCACCCCAGCCTTGCATTCGTCAAGCCCCGCACATCACATGTGTTCTGCATACAAGTTTAATAGGTTGGGTGAGAGTATATAACCCTGCCGTATGCCTTTCCCAATCTTGAACCAGTCTGTTGTTCCATGGTCAGTTCCTACTGTTGCTACTTGGTCCTTGTACAGATTCCTCAGGAGAGAGACAAGGTGGCTTGGTATGCCCATCCCACCAAGAACTTGCCACAATTTATTATGATCCTCACAGTCAAAGGCTTTAGAATAGTCAATAAGCAGAAATAGATGTTTTTCTGAAACTCCCTGCCTTTCTCCATTATCCAGCGGATATTGGCAATCTGGTCTCTCGTTCCTCTGCCTTTTCTAAACCCAGCTTGAACATCTGGCAACTTCCTCCATGTATTGCTGGAGTCTTCCTTGCAGGATCTTGAGCATTACCTTACTGGCATGAGAAATAAGGGCCACTGTACGGAAGTTTGAGCTGTCTTTCGCATTTCCCTTTTTTGGTATGGGGATATAAGTTGATTTTTTCCAGTCTGATGGCCATTCTTGTGTTTTCCATATTTGCTGGCATATGGCATCCATCACCTTGACAGCATCATCTTTCAAGATTTTAAACAGTTCAGCAGGGATCCCATCATCTCCTGATACCTTGTTGTTAGCAATGCTTCTTAAGGCCCATTCAACTTCACTCCTCAGGATGTCTGGTTCTAATTCATTCACCACACCGTCATAACTATCCTCAATATTATTATCCTTCCTATACAGATCTTCTGTATAGTCTCGCCACCTTCTCTTGATCTCTTCAGCTTCTGTTAGGTCCCTGCCATCTTTGTTTCTTATCATACCAATTTTTGCCTGAAATTTACCTCCAATGTTTCTAATTTTCTGGAAGAGGTCTCTTGTCCTTCCTATTCTGTTGTCTTCTTCCACTTCCATGCATTGCTTATTTAAAAATAGTTCCTTACCTCTTCTGGCTAACCTCTGGAATTGCGCATTTAACTGGGCATATCTCCCCTTATCCCTGTTTCCTTTTGCTTTCCTCCTTTCTTGGGCTACTTCCAGTGTCTCAGCAGACAACCATTTTGCCTTCTTGGTTTTCTTTTTCTTTGGAACGTACTTTGTTGTCGCCTCCTGAACAATGTCTCGGACTTCTGTCCATAGTTCTTCTGGGACTCTGTTTACTAAATCTAGTCCTTCAAATCTGTTCTTCACTTCCACTGTATATTCGCTAGGAATGTTAGTGAGATCATATCTAACTGGTCTGTGTATTTTCCCTGATCTCTTTAGTTTTATTCTAAATTGGGCAATAAGAAGTTCGTGATCTGAGCTACAGTCAGCCCCAGGTCTTGTTTTCACCGACTGGATGGATGTCCGCCACCTTTGGCTGCAAAGGATGTAGTCAATCTGATTTCGGTGTTGACCATCTGGTGAGGTCCATGTATAAAGCCGTCTTTTAGGTTGTTGGAAGAGAGTATTCGTTATACACAGCGATTTTTCCTGGCAAAATTCTATCAGCCTGCGTCCCGCTTCATTTTGTTCTCCCAGACCATGCTTGCCTGTGATCCCAGTTGTCATTTGACTTCCCACCTTGGCATTCCAGTCTCCTGTAATGAAATAATGTCTCTTTTTGGTGTATTATCCAGTAGGTCCTGCAGATCCTCATAGAACTGATCTACTTCTGCTTCTTCAGCAGCTGTGGTTGGGGCATATATTTGGATCACTGTAATGTTGAAAGGCTTTCCTTGCACTGGAATTGAGATCATTCTGTCATTTTTTGGGTTGTATCCAAGCACCGCTTTAGCGAATTTCTTATTAATTATGAAGGCTACTCCATTTCTTCGATGTTCCTCTTGTCCGCAGTAGTAGATCTGGTGGTCATCTGATGTGAAGTGGCCCATTGCAGTCCATCAGTTCGCTGACCCCCAGAATGTCTATCTTTAGTCTTGACATCTCGCCAATAACAACATCCAATTTGCCCTGGCTCATAGATCTTACATTCCAGGTTCCTATGGTGTGTTGATCTTTAGAGCATCTGATTCGTCGTTCACCTCCAGTACCGTCAGCCGCTAGCCTTCCTTTCGGCTTTGAGCTAGCTGCGTCATCACATCTGGGGCTAGTTGAACTTATCCTCTGCTCCTCCCCAGTAGCATTTTGGCCATCTTCCGACCTGGGAGTCCCATCTTCCAATGGCATACCGACATATCTCTGGTTGTACTGGTCCATTTAGTTTTCTTGGCAAGGATACTGGAGTGGTTTGCCATTGCCTTCCCCAGGGATCACGCTTGGTCTGACCTCTCTGCCACAACCGTCCCGTCTTGGGTGTCCCTTCACGGTTTCGCTCATGACATCATTGAGGTGCTCAAGCTCCAGCGCCCCGACAAGGCGGTGATCCTTTGCTGGAGTGTACTGGTAGGGATCTTATAATGTAGACACTCTCCTAATATTAACAGAAAAATAAGATTTCAAAACGTGTCTTCATACATTTAGATTATAGCCTGAAAATGCATCAAGTATTTTTGTTAGCCAAGGAGTCTTACCTGAATAAAAGAATACAAGGGCATTGGGATATAATTACAAGTATAACATAATACCACAGAAATAATGCAAGGAAAATAATTCTACCTGAAATCTATCATTTAAAATTGTCATGAAGAAAAACTGTCATGAAGGAAAAGCTTGGTTGAAACACTGGAAAAATATGAACTAAAGGGAGTATGGATCTCTAAGGGAGTTTTCCATCTATAGAACGTCCTGTGATTTTCAAACTGGTCCTTATGGCTCTAAGAGAATCTCTAAGTCACCAATGTAGAGGTTAGGATGTGCATGCTGATATGTCAAATAAACCTGGTAAGCATGCAAGTTAGTGAAGAATGAAAATAAAACAGGAAATGAAACACGATGGCAACAAAAATGCAGACTAAAATAATTCCATGATTAGTTATTATATACAGTTCAGTAATACATGGTTTGAAATCTACAGATATTTAGAAATATATCCATTGCTTTGTCTGAGTCACAGCACATTCACTAAAGACCTGTAGCTTACTCTTAAATATCCTTGCAAATACCAGTTGCCATAAACTGGGAGCCAAAAGTAGCAAAATGCAGAGAATAAAATGTTCACAATAATTGAAAAAAAAAAATGGAATAGAAAAAATGTACTTACCAGAAGAGAATTAGGTCTACTGTTATGTGAGTAATTTTGAGTGAAGAATTCTGTGTTATGGTCCAGTCTGTTATGCCCTCCATAATCTGGAGCATCAGAATCCAGTACAATTTTGAACTTAAGGCAACAGTTAAGGATGTTTATACCAATAGATGGAATTAAAGCAAGATTATAACAGGGATTTTTTTTCATGTAATTTAAAATGTAGCAGTTCCCACTACATTCGCCATACTTCTAATACGATTTCCCAAACTGCATAGAGAAGGCATTATTAGCTGTTTAAGTCAGTGGTTCCCAACCTTTTTTTGACCAGGGACCATTCTCCAATATTAGTACCAAGAGGGTTAGAAATCAGTTTTTGGTCAACTTTAGATTCAGTTTGGTTATTTGGAGTGAAAATTACATTGTATAGATTACATCAGTTCTAGTTTCTGATACAGAACATATGCCATCCAGTAGTTGCCATCTGCTCGCCAGCAGAAAACCATCTTTAATAAGCTTTGGCACTATGAGAGGATTTTGCAAGACCAATCGCTCTTGTTGCAACGTAGTAATGGTGAGGCAGCAGACTATATATTAGTTTTTGCCGAACACTGGTGGTCTATGTACCACAGGCTGGGAACCACTGATCTAAGTACTCCATTATGATTAAAGATATGACCTATTTGTTTACTTCAGTATATGCTGGGACAAGATTTACCCTTTGAGCTATATCCATGTAAATCTGTACCGTATAACCAATGATGACTGCTTCAGTGTAGATAAGGGTTGTGCTGCCAGTAAACTATGCACAACACTACCAGTACAAAGTAAAATTACATAACACAGTGATGTAAGATTACACAGGTTGGATCCATACTAATGTGACCATGCCTCTCATTGGAATCAATGAGACTAAGTTAATCCACTGATATCAATGCATTTCATCTGGATCCAACCAATAGGACAAAAAAAAATCCATTCAAAACTATAAAGAGCCATTTCTTGGATTCCTACAAAACACATGAATTTGTAGAAGTTTGAAATATTTATGTTGCTTTAAGACACCTTCTTTTTCTGTTGTAATTCTTTCTCTTGTAATGCTTGTAGCTTGTAGGCTGTGTGCAACCCACTATCTCTTGTTTGTGGGCCCTCAAACTATTCTACACAGAAGCATTTTAAAAATTGGCACTAAAAATCATTAATGTGCTCTGCCAGTGAATATCACTGGCAAATTGCAAGGTGTAAGCACTGTTATAAGGCGTCAGAAACTCAAGGGGAACACAGCCCATTCACCTATCACTGCTTTTGTGAACTTGGGACCTGTAGTCCAACAACAGCTGGAAGGCTGCATCATTCCCACCCCGACACTAAGGCTAAATCCAATTTTAGTTCCAATTAAAGTCGACTCATTAAAATGAACAGGACTTATTAGGAGGATGAACTTAAATCTCACTGACTTCAGTGGGTCTGCTGTATTTGGAATTAAAACTGGATTTAGCCTCAAGTATTAATGAGCAGGTGTCACATTTCTGCTGATCAATATTGCTTTCATGATTGTGCAGGAAAACAGTCTTGTTTTTGTCCTGTGAAGTTAATAAGTGCTAACAATTTTATACTGAACTATATATATATATATATATTTTAAAAAATAAAAACAACACTATCATATTTAGATACTTCTAAAAAACTAATGCAATATAGCACTGACAAAATTTAAGGGAGAAGTCAAGAGCAATTTAAAGTTAACCAGAAAACTGACCTTGTTTTTAAAAAGTTTTACTGACAGAAGGAAACAGTGAGGAAAAAAGCCACAAACTTATGTCTGAGAAAGAACAGTAACATGTTAGGAACAATGTTCCAGAACCTTAATTTTGAATCAGAAGAAAGAAAAATAACCTTTTGGATAGGACCTCCACTAATAGGATTAGAGCAGAATGAAGCCATGCTTGCTCTTTTGATGACTCAAAGGGCTCTAAGGCTCCAGTGTTTGTTCACTCTCTTGATCAAGTTTGAGGATTGTGATGTTAACAGAATTCTTATCATTTATATCTTTTGACACTTTCAGCCAAACTGAACTTTATTGAAAAGCTGCAATTGCTTTTATTTATGCATCAAGTTGTCAGCGAGAAGTATTAAATAGAGCCATTTTAAAAAAAATCAAACAAACATTTGGCTGTTTAATCAAACATAAATTTGTATCCAAATGTTAAAGAATATCAAGTGATTTAATTGAAGAATTATATCTGCCTTACATTTTTTCTTCATTTCTTTAATTCAATTTGGTTTTAAGTGATGCCAAACTGTACATATAAATTCTAGGCTTTTGAATCAAGTTAACAGGTTTTTCTGCCATCATTTTTACTGCTGGTACTTTGTGATAAAATCCCTGTTTTCAGGCAGTTTATTATAAATAAGAAAGACATTTTAAGAAAGTTACAAATGGTGCTGAACTGTGTAATTTTAAACTGTAAGATTGCTGCTAACACAATTTCTATCTTATTTTTAGGCACGACTTGAGAACTGATTTACAGCATGGCAATATAAGAAAAAACATCATTTCGATTAATAGGGGTTCATTTTTTCATTATGCAAGTAATGCATTAAGTGAATGATCAAATATAAGAATTAACTGTTATTCCAATTAAAGACTATTCAGTGTAATCTTTTTTACTACTTTGGAACGTTATCCAAAATATCTGGATAAAAAAACCCGACAATCACCCCCCTTTTCCCCTCCACCTGATTATAACAGTACAGAAGTGAAAAAGGCCTTTGAACCAGTGTGGTGAAGTAGTTTTTGTATAGAAGAAAAACCAAAATGGAGTTGTGGCTTCTCAGATTTTTTGGATGAAGTTATAAGGTAGTAAAAAAAAAATCACTATAATAGCATGAAAGGGAGAAAGGCTTATGAGCCCATGTAGTTTTATTGCCAGACTAGGACAATAGAAGACTAGGGCTCAAATCTCTTCTTGGCCATGGAAACTGATTAGGTGACCTCGGTCAAATCATATTCTCTCAGCAAACTCCCTTAAGGCAAATTATGCCAAGAAACAGCCATGATTGACTTCTTGTAAGGCAGAAATGATGGCACAAAACAATGAGAAAAGCACAACCACTGTCCTCAATTATAATCTTCCACTGGCTTTCACTATTGCGAAGAACATCTGTGAACAAACCTGCTATACCTGAGTCTTTCCTCCTTATTTATTTATTATGTTTAAGTATATCCCATTTTTTAATCTCCATACAGAGACTCAAAGCAGCTCACAATTCAAAGCATTACAATACAACTTAAAATATACCAATATACAAATATTAAAACAGTATTAAAATCATTACTATTACAAACAATTCAGGTTAAATCCATAAAAATATATAAAACCACAGAAGCACCTGACATGATCTTAAACCTTCTTCTTTAAATGTCCATTTGAATAAAAGAGTTTTAGCCTGCCGCCGGAACCCCAGCAAGGAAGGGGCCATTCTGGCTTCCCTGGGCAGGGAATTCCAGAGTTGAGAGGCAGCCACCAAGAAGGCCCACTCTCTCATTTCCACCAACTGGGACCAAAAGAAGGGGCTCTCCTGAAGATCTCAGGGCAGGTTCATACAAGGGGATGTCGGCAGCCAAATTGCCTAGACCTGAACTATCTAGGGCTTTAAAGGACATAACCAGCACTTTGAATTGTACCCAGAAACAGACTGGTAGCCAGTGGAGCTGCTTCAATCCACTCCCTGTAACCAGCCCGAGTGAGCAACCTGGTTGGAACTCTTTGGACCAGCTGAAGTTTCTAAGCACTTATGAGTTTATTTGAAATACGTCTAATTAGAACTGGACCATTCCTGCTTTATCTTTTTATACAGTTGCAACCATGTTAAGGAAAGTGTTCATTGAAGACCATTTTCCATTTTTCTTAAAGCAGGAGCAGAAATTTTCTTCCCTTCAGCCAAGTCAACCAAGAAGCCTGTTTAAGGGTCTGATGGCAAGAGAGAAATGGGAATGTGGGCACTGTCCTTTATGGTGACATGAAATGACAACCAAGATAGAAAGGGATTAATCTCTTTCCATAAACACTTATGCTATGCTAAAAGGTCAAGAATGTTTGACTGACTCCCAGAACTGGTTCCGCAGTCCTGGATGTGAGACTCCACAGCCATTTCACTTCTTTGGGCTTTGAAAAGCCTGGAGGAGCAGGATGGCACTCACCCCTCCCTGCAAGCCCTGACTACTGCCTGGAGCCTCTTCTCATGTCGTCCTGAGGGGAGACCGGGGGGGGGGGGGGGCAGAGAAATTTTCCTACTCATCCCTCCCATCTCCTCAGGTATCATTTCCTCCCCTCAGGCTCCATGGTGTGTCTGGAAGAGCCCTGAGTCTGTGTCTATATATTTGTTTTATATTTTAAATGTGCTTTTAAAATGATTTTTGATATGTATTTTTAATCTGAACTATTATTTAAAAGAGATATCAATGGGCAAGTTGCTTTAATAATTTAATGTTGTAAACCACCTTGAATCCTGCACTGGGAAAAACTAAGAGAACTAAGCAAACAAACAAACTAATAGATACAAACACTGTGAGATTGAAAAACAGACACATGCATGATTACAGAATCTTCAGCTTTTTCGATACATTTTAACAGGAACAAAAGTGCAGTACAGTGAGCATGCTGTAAGGTTATGTGCTAAAATATCACACATTTTTATCCGGACTGTAACTGACATCGCAACTGGTTATATAACAATTACTAGAGCAGAATGTTTTGTTTTGACACCATTTCATAGCGTTTGTATATGGATTTTTGCTGGATCTCTCATCCAAAAAATATATATCTCAACTTTGTTTTTCAGCAATTGTTATATTCATACATGGATGCTCTGGTAAGCACAGAAATGTTTAGATAATGTATTTGTCTTTCAGAGTCAAGGGATCAAGATGTGCTCTTTGCATTTCTCTTATCTTTAGTTTTTAGCTTGTTAACTTGTTTTTTCTCCTTGCACTGTGCCCAGACGAACATATATCTATACTAAACAAAAACTCACTTTTAGGCTAAGGTAGACTCTTGTCTATGCTGCTATCAAGTATGCCAACTAGTCTCCAAAGTGCCACTGGACTATTTAAGTCGGAGAGAGGCACACTGC